TGTGTCGGTTTGGGCCGAACCGACATGCTGGGTCGGCCCATGACCATGTCTACAAGGTTCCAATAATAGCTAGCAGCCCCAGGTTAAAAAAAATTCTGGCTACGCCCCTGGTCAGGCCCATGTACCGGCCGCCCGTACCTACATCCAGGCCCCGGGTCCATATAAGTGTTTCCAGGCCCGGTAACCCGTCGAGTCGGGCCCGTACCCAGCCAACCCAATGGCCATGACGATATTGAACCCAAGAATTTAAGATCCCAACAATTGGGACATAATATATTATGAGATGTATAATTGAAAGTGATGAGTAGTTAAAATTATATGAGTTGATGAATTGTGAATTAATAAAATTGATGTGATATGTGATTATGATTGGGTGATATTATTTAATTATATTGATATCATTTAGTACAAGTTTGTTAAGTTCAATTTTGAGTTAGAATGATGTGTGTGGATGATTATATTGAATATATTGAATATGGTTGATTTGAATTAAAAAAAATATTTCTTTTTGACCAAATAATATGTATCCACTCTATTGTTCCATTTGTTATAGGTTTATTTATTGCTATACCAATTTGTCATTAACAATAATCTTTTAATTGCTCTCATTTATTGTTCCATATCTTTTGTGTATATTTACTCCTTTACCAAATTGTCAATAACAAATAATTTTATAATAGTATATTATCATAAATGAACTTCAAAGTAAGATTATTTTTATCTAGGAAAAAACCATATGAACATATTATTTATTATGAAGTATTTTTTTTCTTTTGTTATTTCATTAATGGTATATAATTATTGTAAACTTTTATCCAGTCCCAATTCCCAACTGCACAAGTCAACAGATTGTATTATCCCATTTAAATCAAAACTCAAATCACTGGCTATCTGCTTAAACTATTAAATACTGCCCATGTAGCAATACCCAAAATAAAGGTGAATAACCAAAATTACAATTATAAATTATCCCCTAACTAATTAAATATCAAGAAATATCTTAGACGAGCGGCCTTTTCTCTTCATCATCTTCGCCACCTCCGATTCCCCTTTGTCTGTTAGCTTCTTTGCTATGCATTTTTCGGTCTGTTGTGGTGGTGGAGGGTGAAACAGCTCTGTTAGGAGTTTTGCTATCAAGAACAAGCTTCAGCACGATCCCCATCGTTATGAGGAGCAAACCCGAACCGTGTTGTTCGGTGAGCGGCTTGGTGAATATTAAGTAGGACAACAACAAAGTTACAGCCTTTCTTGCAGTAGTTATCTGTCAGTTACAGGTGGTAAAAAAGGTGAAAAAATGATGATGCGTTGGGATTTTTCAGGAGAAAATGTTCATGCTGCCTCAAAATGCAGCACTCAGCTGTTTTTTTTTTTCTTTTTTTTTTTTGAACAAAAAAGGCCTAACTACCTTGAATTTGAGATCTTTTCTGCATTTGAGGGAACATAAAAGACGGAATAAAACCACCGTAGGGATTTGGTTTAGTTTATTTTTAATTTTAGAGAATTCTCAAACGCCTTCGGTTTTTTTTTTCGGTTACTTCACAAGATCTGAAAGAGAAAAGAAGGAATGAAAATGCATACCATAGCAGTGGTGGCAGCCCCAAAAAGCGCAATGAGTGACAAAACAGAGACTTGACCGATAAATGTAGCCATTGCTTCAAAGACTAGCACGCCGTATACATAAGGATGCTGCAAAGCGAGAAAACAAATCAATAAAATAATACAAAAGAATAATCAGGCAGCATGATCAAATGCAAGCATGTTTAGTTTGAAACTCAAAAATTCAACTCGACCTAGGTCATATTAGGCAATTTTGTATCTAACCGATAACAGTAAAATTAGGTGCTTATAAAAGTAACACGCAATTTTCATCCAAAAACATTTCATAATATGAGTCCCACAAATTAAAGAATACATTTTAACTTATCCAGCCCAGAGTGAAAAGTAATAATATGGAGTTGGTGGTCCTGGAAATTCGATGTCTTAGATGTTATTTGATATGTTACTTCATGATAAAATTTCACATGTTCATGACCAGGTATACTTATATAGTCATTATAGGAAAACAACCTTATCGGTTCCAAAAGAAATCAGTCTAAATTAAGTAGGGAAAATTACAATGATTAGCCTCAAGGCTTTTGTAATTTCAGTTGGACCTTTAGGCAATTAAGCAAAAACTCAAGGGTATTTATCGTAAAGAGATATTATATATTTAAAGAAAAAAGCAGATGTTGTACCTTGCTTACAACTTAGACTACCTAAAATCTTTCTCTAATCACTTACATATCAATTTTTCCCTCTTGGGAAAGTTGACCAAATTATAACTTAGCAACTACTTACCTCATAACAAGACGTCCATGCCCTGAATAACTCTCCAGTCAAGATCATGGGTGCCAACAGGAAGGGCAAACCAACCACCGTCGAGCAAAATAGCATCTCCATCTGTGTCAAGTAAACCGAGCAAAAAATCCAAACAAGATTATAATATATGGTAAATAAATTTAAAAAAAAAAATAAAATAACAAAAAAAAAACCTGAGTGGTGTCGGGATTCATGGTAAAGATTGCTTCTTGCAAGTTGCCTAGAAAAGCATCCATCACTAGGGCACCCGTAATCATCACAACCCCAATTATATTAAAATTAGGGGACGTATTTGCATCCGCTAAAGTGAAAAGAATAAGGCCGATCACTAGGAGCATGGCCGAGATATACTCGTGGACCGGATATTTCCTTCTCAAGCCAGGAATAAATGCACCCATAACCATCACCGGCAACACCTGTCCTCCCAAAATGTCAAATTATAGAACCAGTCTAGTGATTAATTGCTGATCGAAATTTTCAAAAACTAAAAGGATGAATTGGAAAAAACAAAAACGAAACTGTTCGAATATATGTACCTTGGTGGATTTGAACATGATCTGTGCAGGATAATTGAGATAAGCTAAGGAGCCCTTTGTTAATCCATGAGAACCCATTAGGACAGCCGAGAGCTTGACATACATTTTCCATGGATTCACCATTTGCTTGGTGGTGAACCCCTGTAAGTATATCAGCACCAAATACACAAAGCCTTGTACAAAGGTAAAATACCAGCCATAGCTGCACACACACACACACACAAAAATGGTAAATTACTTATTTTCTTCTGCAACAGAATATTATGATTCAATGTGGACAAGTAGACATGGACAGACCTGAAATTCAGGCGGTTATATACATATTCCTGCAACCAGAGATAATTTGACCGTTTAATCAACTTTGAAACTTGATTGATTAATCAACATTGGAAAAAATGTGTATTAGATCCAAACAATCCTAAATCAACATCACAGCAGCCAAGTCAAACAGAACTATTGGCCATTGAAAGTTATTATAAAGCAACAACTATGTGAAAGAAAAGAATAAAAGAAGAAAGGAAAAGGAAAATCCTTGACAAAGTAAAGGCAGCAAAGGAAAAATCATAAGCTTTGGCCTTTGGCTGAAAGTAAACAAGAAACAAAAAATAATAATAACAAAAAAAAAATTATTTATCAGCGTTGCCCAGAAAGTGATCAATCAAGAAACAAACTGTAGTTCAAAATGCTAACAACTCGACTGTTGGTTTCATAGCAAAACCGAACAATTCAATACCTAACCTCCACACAAATTGACAACATTCAACACAATCAATCAGTATATCACACCGTTTATCTTTTTCATATCCATAAATTATAAACAAAAACGTCAAAAAAAAAAACCCAGCAATCACCATTAGCTCATATTCAAGAACAGAAAAAACACGAAGACTGTGTGAAAATACACGCATATACCTCACAAATCCCGTTGACGAGGTAGCCGAAGAAAAACCCAGATGAGCAAATCAAAAACTGCTGCCACGTGGGCCTATCGGTCAACGAAATTCCCAAGAGGGACCTCGTCTGGTCTTCCTTCTTCATCCTGATATCAACCAGCGAGATTGAAAAAAAAAAAAAAAAAAA